TTTTTTACCGGGACTACTTTTTTGAAATGTCAAAACTTCCTCTGACTGCCCTTTTCTGCGTTAATTATGCTACCTATTTGACCGCCGGGTGCCCTCATTGGCGATCTTATTCGCGCCGGATCTGCTTTCAACAGTCACGTCTGTCAAGGGTCTTCTATGGCGACGACGGTATATGTTGATTTGCACGCTGTGCGATATGCTACCGTAGTAAATTGCATGGTTATAGCCGACTCCCTTTTATGCGTAATCCTGACTTATGTGGTCAGGTCGTGTGTGTGGCGCGCACAGACGGACCTTAGCCGTGTCAGACGACCGACCGACTCAGACTGTGGACTGGTGCCTCGGAATAGAGTGGGAGGGTGAAGTCGACCGTCTCAACGCATGTTTTTCAGCATAAACCTGTGCCATTGAAGAGCGCTCAGACGCCTATGTCATTGATGCTGGCCTTGTGGAACGTAATTACCTGCTTGCTAAGTGTAACCTGATTGGTGGTCCTTCTGAACGCTACTTACCACCCAGGACCCTTTTCTGCGTGAGTAGGCATTCCATCATGATTTCTACTGGCACTGTTACCGCTGATGTTTCATTTTCTCCACACGTGTAATCCAAACAGTTTACCCTCTTTGCGTGAAGTCATAGTGTGCGCTGTAAGGCCAGGTCGTGTGTGTGGTGTGCGAAGACGGGCTGTCCTTAGATCTGTCGACTACTTGGCCCAATCTCAGCATCAGTTGTTTGATCGGTTCAGACAATCGATCGGTGCACAGCGAGGGGAGGAGAGATCGGGAACACGACTCTCAGCGCATTTTCCTCACTGTGGGCGATTGGACGCGCTTGAATACATCAGGATGAGTTACAAGCCCTGGCGTGGAAGGTCGACAACTGACGTTTTAACTCAGACCTTGCAGCTCTCACAGTGTGTATTTTTATGGAGTGACCGGCTGATGGACTGAAAGCCAGACTGCGACGGCCCCTTAAAGTGGCCTCTACTGAGCTCTCACACATGTGAGATTCGATCCACCAACATCTGTGCGAAATCCTGGTATACTGTGTGGAGCCAGGTCGTGTGTGTGTGTGGCAAGCGCTGACGAGCTCGCTTTCATGGAATCCGAACTAGGAAAGAAAGAGGGAGGTCGGCGGTCTCAACATAAAGCTATCTTACGCGCCTGAATCTATCGCGGTGCATTAAAAGCCGTGGCTTGGCAGCCTGCCAACCGGACGGGCGGGGAGTCAGGGTGTGATGGTTCCTTCTTATTATGGCCGTTATGACGCTCCCGTTCACCTCGGATCCAATGCACCCTTCCTTTTGTGTAGAATTTTGCGCGATTGCACGTGGTGGGCCAGGAGGTGTAGTGGTACGCCTTGGTGCGGGCTCTCGCCGCACCAACCATCTGCACCCTTCTCCGCCGCCTCTGGTCTTTTTGACTCTGTCGTGATACCAGGCTCAGGTGGGGGAAAAGGAAGAGAGTGCGCCGGAAGCCGCACAAGTCTCTTATCACTATAAGCGAATTCACGCGCGATTCACTGTCCCTACACCAACCCTGCTGTGGAGCACACAGTGGACATCGTCAGAAACGATAGCCAAACTCATGTTCACAGCCACTGGTAGTTCATCATGTTCATGACCAAATCCCGACCAAGAGAATGTCAGGCTTTGTATATGACAATTCAAATCACTGCGCCAAGTGGCTGTAAACACTATCGTCTTAAATAGGGTTTTCGAAGACATTGCCTATTACCCTTAAAATATACTGACCTAAATCTAACCGAGTTTCGGTATTTCAAACGTCTAGTTTCCATTTATTGCTAGTCGAACTGCAACGGGGTTTCAACTAGGGTCGCGATGTCCATCGTGGCCACTCGCAGTAGACGTAGTAATTTGATGAAGGTGACCTTCGAGGTCCACGTCCGATGTTACCAATTCGCATCCTTCCCCCCTCTCCGTACTCCCATGGCGCGGTTTTTGGTCTGCATAAGCCTGTGATAGTGTACCTTACTGCTGCTGTCGTCATTCAGGGTCTCTGAATTAGTTTTGTGTGCCCACAAGTGTCAGTTCATTTGCTCACGTCGCATATTCTACAGTCATCTGGACCGGTCATAGCGATTACGGATTGCCGGATTAAATTGGCTTTGACGCGAGCCTGGACCTTCCAGACCAGACTGGCTGGACGGGATTTTCAGCGGACAGCCGGTTCTGTGCCCACAGATACCGGCCCAATATGTCTTCTTGACTTCTGACTTGTGGACTGTGACGCGTACTGGGTAGTAGTCGACGGCAGCCCTTGCAACTCCTGCACTCTGGTCGGAGAGAGGAGGTGATTTCATGGACCACACTGTACTTGCTCTGACGTTTCGGGAACTTCCTCGTTTCCATCACCAGAGTGCTAATGGGTCTGTTCTTGTTACTTGGAGTTATCATAGCCTTGCAGTCTGCCTCCTATTATAACCATGTTTGGCGCGAGAACTCTGGCCTACTAACTGGTGGAGGGTTGGCGTCGCCCCACACCCTCCTGTGGCCAACAGCTGGTTCGTAACCGTGAGGACAGCGAACTCGTGAGTCCGTGGTTAGCGCGTTGAAATTCTAACCAACAGTACGCGGGTTCAGACCTCAGGGGTTGAAAACGTGGGGTTGAGAGTATGGTTGGCTGATGACGGCTTTTAAGTCGGAGATGGTTGTTCTAGATTTCCTGGTCTTCTTTTCGGTATTCTCATTTTTCAGCCAGCCCCATTCAAACCTAGGTTTGGGGACGCAGTACAGTAGGTGGGCTAACTCATGAAATGACAACCGAAATTCCGAAATACATTTTCGTTTCGCAAAGATTAATTGAGTAGGATTGTAAAACTAGACAGCCTGCAACATAATTCTATAATATTTCAGTTACCTGAGGATGCCGGCTTTCTAATGAAGTTCCTTCCGGCTGCATGCAAAAACTGCATTCTGTAGAAAATGACCACTTACGTAGCATGGATTTTTCTCATTGATTTTCGATGCCCCTAAAGATTCAATTATATTTCATGGAAAACATTCATTCTTTCACTCATTTAGTAGGCAATTACGCCTTCTTCTAATATTATACTCGAAGAAGTGACTTAATTGGATTTTAAAAAAAGTTTTCCAATTCCCGAATAATTTTGAACTCGCTCTATCTTCATACTTGGATTCAGGGTTTCCAAACTACAAGCCGTACATTCTGTCAAAAGCTAGGTCCCGGTTATCCGTATTCAAGACGCCATTTTGGTTGAACCGGTGGGTTCACGCGAAGGTCGTAGTGGTCGCTCACTTGCTTGCAGGTGAGACTACGCCTAGCGTCCACTTGCTGGCACTCAACTCTCACCTGTGGCTCCACGTAGCTCGGCTCTGCTCAGCGGCCACACCCCGGGCAACCGCCTCGACCGGCGGGCTAAACCAGGTGAGGGCGGTTACTCCCTGTGCGCGTTGTGCCGCGTGCACAGGTGACTGCGGACTCCGTGGACGGTTGGTCGGATGGAACACCGCGTCGGCGCCGTCGTGACGAGGCTCTGTCTGGCACACTGCTGGTCAGCCGGTTGGTGGTGGAGTGTCGCATCGGCATCGCCTAGACGAGGCTCCGCCTGGTACGCCGTTGATCAGCCGGTGGGATGGATCTCCGAATTGGCACTGTCGACAGGCGCCCATCTGGTGCACCGTAGGAGACCTCAGGCTTGCGGCAATGCCGTAAGCCATTGGCAAATTCGAGTCGTTCTTCCACTGCCAAAAAACTCGTGGCCCACAGTGGAGTTCGGCCGCGCCGGCACATCAAGCAGCCCCTATTCAGGTCCAGGGCACTGCTTGCTTCGGGGCGGGCCTGGAAAAGCTGGCCTAAAAATTGCTGGGGAACCACGTCGTCTGCTGGCGCACCGTGGTCGCAGACGCAAAACTCACGGTCGAAACAATCAAACTCGAAAAAACAACAACAACAACCATACTCATTCTCCTCATCCTACCTCTTCTACCTCTACCTCCGTCTATTCTTCTACCTATACTTCTCCTTCATCATCTACTTCTCCACCTCCTTCCCGTCGCCCCACTCGTATTCCCCAGACTGACAGGGTGAGGCCGCTCACTCTGGCAGCCTGGAATGTTCGTTCCCTTTTAGACAACCAGAGGAGCAACCGACCGGAACGGAGGACGGCGCTAGTGGCACGAGAACTGGCGCGCTACAAGGTGGACATCGCCGCACTCAGCGAGACCCGATTCTCCGAACAAGGCCAACTGGAGGAGGTGGGTGCCGGTTACAGCTTCTTCTGGAGTGGTCGACCCAGGACAGAGAGACGAGACGCGGGCGTCGCCATCGCCATCCGGAAAGACATCGTGGGAAGACTACCCAGTTTGCCGCAGGGAATCAAAGATCGCCTGATGAGCCTCCGCCTGCCTCTCAGGCGAGGAGGCAAATTCGCCACAATCATCAGCGCCTACGCTCCGACGATGACCAACCCCGACGCCGTCAGAGACAAATTCTACGAGGACCTGCACGCCCTCATGGCGACTGTGTCGAAGGCGGACAAGTTGATTGTCCTTGGTGACTTCAACGCCCGCGTCGGCACAGACCAATGCGCCTTCCGTCGTCGTCATCGTGGGACCACGGATATGATCTTCGCAGCTCGCCAACTTCAGGAGAAGCGCCAGGAGATGCGGACCCACCTGTACTCTACCTTCGTGGACCTGACGAAAGCCTTCGACACGGTGAATCGTGAAGGACTGTGGAAGATCATGCAGAAATTCGGCTGTCCGGAGCGATTCACTCAGATGGTGCGTCAGCTGCACGACGGTATGATGGCGCGAGTCACGGACAACGGAGCTGTCTCAGAGGCATTCGCAGTGACCAATGGAGTGAAGCAGGGCTGTGTGCTGGCGCCTGCCCTCTTCAGTCTTATGTTCTCTGCCATGCTGATGGACGCCTACCGCGACCAACGCCCTGGAATCCGCATCGCCTATAGAACGGACGGTCATCTCCTGAATCAACGGCGCATGAACTTCCAATCGCGTGTATCCACAGCCACCGTGAACAAACTCCTCTTCGCCGACGACTGCGCCCTGAACACCACCTCAGAAGAGGAGATGCAACGGAGCATGGACCTATTATCCGCCGCCTGCGATAAATTTGGGCTGGTTATCAACACGCAGAAGACGGTGGTGATGCATCAGCCGCCTTCCAACTCAGACACAGCCCCCAACGCGCCTCACATCAACGTGAATGGGACTCAACTGCAAGTGGTAGAGAACTTCACGTACCTGGGAAGTACCCTATCTCGCAACACAAAGATCGATGACGAAGTCGCCAACAGAATCTCGAAAGCCAGTCAAGCCTTCGGTCGCCTCCGAAGCACAGTCTGGAATCGCCACGGTCTCCAACTGAGCACAAAGCTGAAGATGTACGAGGCCGTCATCCTGCCGACGTTACTGTACGGAGCAGAGACATGGACAGTGTACACGAGGCAGGCACGTCGACTGAATCACTTCCACCTCAGTTGTCTCCGTCGCATCCTGAGGCTGAACTGGCAGGATCGAATCCACCGACACGGAAGTACTGGAACGAACGGGAATCCCCAGCATCTACGCCATACTGAGACAAATGCAGCTGCGCTGGAGCGGCCACCTGGTGCGCATCGACGACGAGCGACTACCCAAACGACTCTTCTACGGAGACGTCGCGACGGGTTCTCGTCGTCAAGGAGGCCAAATTCGCCGTTACAAGGATACCCTGAAGTCCTCCCTGAAGCGCCTGCAAATAAACCCGACCAACTGGGAAGAGCTCGACCGCGATCGTTCGACATGGAGGAGAACAGTGAAGACGGGCGCTGCTATCTACGAAGCCAACCGCATCGCCGCCGCCAAAGCGAAATGCGAAGCCCGCAAATCACAACTTCGTCCAGTCCGCAACGCCGCCGCACCACCTCCCCCTACGTGTCCTCGATGTCAACGGACATTCCGGGCACGAATCGGACTTGTTGGACATCTTCGAATCAACTGTGCCTCTCGAACTGCTCCAGCCATCGTCCCCTGCCCGCCTCTTCCTCGTCCTCTCTACCACCAACTAACTCTGATAACTCTTCTGAACCACCACTTCCATCATCCTCCTTATCCTCCACTGCCCCAACGGCGGCCGTTCAGACTGCCGTCTCACACATCACCAACCCCAACACAGCAACCGCCACCACCCGCACCTCTCCCGATCCCAGTGATGAGGATCAGGACTGCACCTGCCCTCACTGCGACCGCACCTTCACCTCTCGCATCGGCCTGGTCGGTCACTTGCGAATCCATCGCACAGAGACTGGTGAACCAGTGCCTGGAGCACCAACCTACACCCACCGCACTCGCCTCAACTGCCCACACTGCCCTCGCACCTTCACGCATCGCATGGGTCTATTCGGCCACATACGCATCCACGACGACCTGCGGTAGACAACCGCCGCTCACACCACACATTCCCTCACACCCTACCTCCTAACACCATCACCCCACCAGACATCAACACCCACACACCTCATGCACTCAACTGCCGTCTCCCACGCAAGTGGGAAGTGTGCATCTCGACTCGGTCCCCATGCAGTTTCGGCTGCACGGGTGACTTGTGTCCGAGACTATCCCGACACGTCAAGCGTCGTGGATAGGAAGGTTGCTGATTGAGGCCTGCTCTCGGTTCATGCAGTTCGTCACGTTGTGTGTGTGTGTGTGTGTGTGTGTGTGCGTGT